AACTTTTGATGATGAAAATATGTGCTCATGTTTTCTTGTACAGTTTTTTTTTTTTTTTAGATGGCGTGGCATCATTTTCATTACCACGTTTTTTATCTGAGGCAGCTTTATCATTTTCATCTTTTTGTTTTACTAACTCATCATAGATTTTAGGATGATTACGTTTCACATGACGCCAAAGATTAAACTTTTTTGACACACTTGTTCCCATTGCCTGAAAATTGCATTGCACATCATCATTTTTTAGCTTACATCTAGCTGACTTTTTTTGTCCATTTTTTTCTTCAAACTCAAATATATTTTCCAGATCATTTTTCAAAAAGCGACTATCGATTATAGGTGATTGACACAAATTTTGGTTAGAAGTCATATCCGGACCTAATTTAATTTTAATTAAAAATTTAAATTTTGTTAAGAGTAATGTATTGCTTTTTAAATTAAAAATTATATTATTTAAAAAATTCTCATAAGAATCTTACCTTTGATGTGCGATTACGAATTTACGATTGCAGAAAAAAAGATTAGTGAAAAAGTCAACTAGTGTTTACAAATGGCGTATAAAAGGAAGCCATTGCTTTGCTATGAAAGATTCTAAATATCATAACAAAAAAAATTTTTTGAGTTGAACTAAAAGATACAAAATATTAAAAAATAATATTTTTTTTATTTTTTAACTAAATATTTTTTTTTATTATTAGAGCATGGAGCACTTAAAATTTGTGTGCTCCGGCTCCGCTCACGCTCCGACCAGAATATGGTTGCTCCGATTGCTCCGCGCTCCAGCTCCAGCTCCGCTCCAAAGCCCTGATTATAAATGCTGTCAAAGTCAGAAATTTTATTATATACCTATATATTATTAGATAGGTTTTTAGTTAGGATTATGTTAGATATGTTTTGATTAATTTATTGGTTAAAAATTGTAACTGCTTAATTTAGATTTTTACAGTAAATCAAACATTGTTTTATAATTTTGTCAACCACCTAAAAGTTCAGCGAAAAAATCGTACATACGAACGAAAATTCTTGAAAAAATCGAACGTTCTTAGACAGGCATAAAGAGCCTACACACGATCCAGTTTATGCCTCGCTTTGCCAGAACAAATTTTCACCTACGACGTCACAGATTTATGTTCAGTATTCCAAGCTTGTTCAACATTTATTGTTTTATGATTCAACATGATGGTCAATTCCTGTATTTTTAGCGTTCTGGCTATTCATTAATTTAAAAACCATAAAACAAAAAAAGTTTGTTGGTTAATGAGTATTATCGTAAAAATGTTTAAAACAAAACAATAAGTTATGTTGTGTAGCGACAGATTTATAACAGGTATGGATTGATAAAACATGTTTAAAACTTTGCACGACGCACCGGTCAAATCAAGCCAAATTTCAGAAAAATCAGAATTTTTACAGCCGGAATGACGCACACGCTCCGGGTTAACTGCAGAAACCAGGCCTGATTTACTAAGTGATAACGTTTAGTGTCAAAACTGCGATGGAATATTTCTTCGTGATACTAAAAATTCATATTTCGAAGTCGTTATTTGTAAATTTGATTATTGTAAAATCTAAATAGTTTATTGATTTGTGAATACTAAAAGTAATTTTGCAAAATCTGTTTTAATTTTTATCTAGAAAATTGTAAGAGCCTGTCTCGAATTGTGAAATAAATAAATGATTTCAATTTATCAACACAATAAATTTTTTCATTTCTTAATATTTTTTAAATAAGAATTGTCTTTGATCAACAATTAACATGATTGAATAAATCTTATTTTTATAATATTTCATCTGCTACAGATCTAATGATAAGTTCATTAAAGTCTGTTTGGATTAATTTCCCAACCGCTGTTAGTTTTTCACTTGTTAATTTAATAATGATTTTCCCGTTAGTTTTTCACTTGTTAATTTAATAATGATTTTCCTTAACAAATGGTGTTATTCAATAAAAGAAAATGTTTTTTGAAGAAAATGTTTATTTTTAAGTCATTTAAATTTCACAATTCAAGTTCTTTTTTTAAATCAGTTTTTTCAACTACGTTAAATCGTTGTTTCATCTATGTTTTGAATGCTCTGCTAGAAATGTTTGAATGCACTGTAATATTTATTTATGTTTGACTACGTTTGAAAAACTTGGGAAAATGCCCCATGTCACTATGAGACTAATTAGAAGTTGAGAATTAATAATGATAAAATATCACTTATTTTTGGCATTGTTTAACTCAAAATACAGTTTTTTAAATGTTCTAAACTTAATTTTTAGTATAGAAAAATATCAAAAGTTGTTAAAAATTTTCTTTTTAGAAAATTTCAATTTTTATAAATTAAACAAAAAAATAATTTAGTTACAAAATATATTTAACGCCTTAGGTTCACTAATTTTTGATTTCGCTACATTTTAAACCTGGGTCGGAATGAGCACCTTTGCATTGACTTCTCCAATGCATTTTTCCCATGATGATGTAAGGAATTGGTATAGTTTCTCTAAACGCGGAATTGCCATCTTACATTTTATATTTTACTGTCTGTTGATAGTCATTGTTTCTTTTTTTTTGTCTGAGCTACTCTGTGAGTTCAAAGATGCCATTTTTTCAAAACTTGTAATTTAATACCAACCAAGATGATCAGATTTGTTCCAAAAAGCTAGTTTATGCAAGTAGTTTATGCAAGATTAAGTTAAAATTGTAACAAACACACAAACCATGAATAATATTAGAGACAAGTTCAACAGACCAACTTTGTTTCATTCATATAAATCTAAATTATTATTATTCTAAATCTTGCTTCAAATTTGTATTTGATTTTTATTATTAAATTTGATAAGGCGTTTTAAGAAATTTTTTTTGTTTTTGTTTATTAACTATTTTGGGAGCTTTTTTTTTACTTCAAAACGGTGTTTTCCTGTCTAAAACTGAGTTTTACAGCTGATGTGGGGGCTCCTAGATTAGCCACTGACTTTAAATGATCTCAATCCAATTCGCTCTTTTAATACCTTTTTAAATCATTATACTCTGAAGATGATGAAAGATTCTAAGATCTGGCCCAAGAATATTTTGCTTTGTAAATAGATTTTTAATGAGAAAGCTCTAACCTCAAATAAACAAATTTTCTAATCATGGTGATGACGAAAATAATAGCAATGATAACAATGTTATTCTATAAATAATATTTTGCGTAATAATTTTGATAATATAAAATCCACTGATAACGACTATGAAACTAATAAGAAATTGACTTAATTTTCATGAATTTAATTTTCGAATTCAAAAATTTGTAAATGTTAAATTAAACAAAATATATGAAATTAAACTGCTCATAATCATTTGTAAAATAATTAGGATAATAAAAATTTTAAATGTAGCGTTTGTAATTTCTATTTTTATTTTATATTGTTATTTTTTTTTATTAAACTTTTATTTTAGAATATTGCTCTTTGAATTTAAAAAGATTGCTTTTTCTTATTCTTGCTTTTTAAACATTGATTCCAAAATATTATTCAATTTTTACGTGTTTTCATTGAAATTCTTCAAAAAATTATTTTTGAAAAAATTTTTTTTTAATTTTTTAGAAATACGTAATAATGCTTGAAGAAGAGGTAATTCCAAACACAGACTTTTTGTGGTACTTGGGTCAGTGCATGGACGTATTTGAAGAAGATGAATCACTTGTGGCTGTCAGTTCTTTCAATGAAAATGGTAGGTTGCATTTTCGGACGTTCATTTTGTTTTGGTTTTTGTTTTGAATGTCTTTCAATTTAGAGTAAAAAATTTATGCATGTTTTTGTTTTTTATGAAAGGTTTCAAAGAAGTGTCGAGTCAATATTCAATAGTTCACAGAGGTGTTTCATTTCCTGGATTGGGTGTAATGCTTAAAAAATCTTTTTATGATGAATACTTGAGCAAAAATGTCGAGAAATGCTGTATTGACAGGTTTATTTATTATAAATCTCAAAATTAAAAATTAATTGTCATGTCATTAATTTGTTCAACTCAATTCAGATAGTATTTTTAGTATTATTTATTTGTGAACTTTAAAATGTCTTTTTTGCTTTTTTAGTTGTTTTACAAACAGTCTGACTTTTCTAGAATTTTTTATTGCCTTCCAAACAAGAAAACTAGACTATTAAAATTAAACGTAAAATACTGAAAATGACTATCAACATGCTATTCTACTTTTTTGGAGTTTTTCGCAACGTCCTCATGCAACTTTTTATTATATTACTTTAGTTAAAAATTCATTTATACATAAATTTTTAAAATTAAGGCATAAATTATTATTTATTGTTTGACTTTAACGACAACAACGACATCATATAATATGTTATTTAGTGTTAACTATTAGAAAATGTTTTCATTATTTTCGAATCAAAAGAGTCCAATTTTTAAATCTATTTGAGAGCATTTCACATTTTTCAAATAAACTAATTCATATATATATATATATATATCAATCAATCTTCGTTTTGCGTCCAGAGTCCCGGTTCCCCGAGGTAGGACGTTGTTTTCTTTGCCATCAACTTTTTGCGCCAAATTAGACGATCAGCATATATTAGATTCCAAATGTCACCAGTGCGTATCGGTTTTGTGATTCTTCCATAAATTGATAATTTCAGATTTTGATGCAC